GGACTTACAAGCTTTCTATGGTGATATTTCTGGCTATGCCTTTCTCTGTCCTTTTAAGTTTAAAACTCACTTTTGACTCAAAATGTTTCTACATGATTAGTTTCTTTGAAGGACTCAGAAAGAGAGAGAGAGAAAAGCAGCATCAGGGGCCAGGCATGAACTTAACCATGTGAGAAGCCTGTTAAGTCTATGGAAATGTAAGCATCTGGGACAAAGTGAATTGGAGAGCAACATGCTTCAATATTGAATTAAAAATCAGCAGACAAAGAAAAGTGCACACGAATGCAGCAAGAACTACCAGCAGGATATCCCTGTTTTATAAGCATTCAGTAGCAAAAGCTACCTACACATCCGGTCCTTGAAGCCCACCCACAGACAGTAGCATGAGCCAGATTCCTGAAACCGCAGATGGTGTGAGTCCTCTGAGACTTGGTATTTCAGACTTGCTCACGGCAGCCTCTCATACAGTGTCCATGAAAAAACAAGTGAAAAGGAAGCCACCTACTTCGCATAGGCATGGGGTTCTTTCTGACTTACATTTGAAATAGCGGCATTTTATCAGGTGGAAAAGACAGTGCTGTGTCCAAGAATTTGCAAGCTGATAAATATAAGATGAGTTCGTTTGCGGGGATCTCTCCTTTTAAGGGTCCATTTCCATCAGGGGCAGAAACTTTCGTTCTGTTTGTTTTGTTGCTGTTTCTGTAAAGAAAGGCATTCTTGTTACATTCCTTCACATACCTGCTGTAGACTATTCACCTGGTAAATGTCCACAGAAAGTTTTTTCTTTTTTTTCCAAAATAGCTGGTCCCATCCTAAGTACTTCAAGGAAATAGCATTTAGCACTATATCACATTACATCATAGTCATGTCCTTTAATCTTAACTACTTTCCACAGGTGTTCATAAACACTTGTACGACTTACCTCAGAGATTCATCTTCCTCTTTCAGGTCTTCTTCAAGTTGTGTGAATGTCTGAATCTAAATGACAAACAACCATGCATTGAAGTTACTATTGGACAGAGATTAACCCTATCTTAATGTTTAAGCTGTATATGTCTACCCACGAACCACTGCTTTCTTTGCCACAAGACCAGAACTGCATGGTGCCCAGGTATCATTACTGAATGCTTTGATCAAAGATTCTAAAGAAGAACACAGATCAAAGGAGGGGGGATGGTAGTGGTGGAAATTAAGAACAGAATTTCACTTCTCATGGAATCCAGACTCTGTGTTGTTGTTGTATGCCATCGAGACTGTTCTGACTCATAGCAACCTTGTATAAGATCTCCAAAGAGTGACTGGTGAGTTTGAACTGCCGACTTTGAGGTTCAAACTGATCTTGCAGTCCAGTGCTTACCCTACAGTGCCACACCAGGACTTTGGGGAGCCCCTATTGTTACTGCCCTGACAGTCTTTAGCCACAGAATCATGAATAAAAAATATCACCTGGAGTATTTTTAAATTCAACAACAGTTATCTAGCTTAACTCATCAAGATCGTCCATCCTGAGCTTTGTGCCCTTTTAAAATACTTTACTCTATGGGATCAAACTCTTAACAGTGACTCAAAAGGTTAGGTAGGAAGCTTAGGCAGAAATGATTCTCTGTCACTTCCAGGGGAAGAACAAATCAGAAAAGGAGATGAGCATGGCTGCACAATTTGAAGAATGCAGTCTATGCTATCCATAGAAATTGAGTTGGTGTATGTTTTGCTCTATCTATTTTCAACAATAACAAAAAAATATGTAAATGTCTATTGAAACTAGCTAATCAGTAATATTAAACAGTACAAATTAGCTGGAACAGTTAACAATTGTCCATATATTAACTGTAAAATAAGATAAAATATTCTCTATTTAGCCGAGAGCTATGTGCTAACTAGACTGAAAATGACCTTGCAGATAAAATTTGATACATGTGAAATAGTATATTATATTACTCCAGAATTAAAAAACAACAAAAAAAGCTCCAATCTTGTACTTACCAATTCAGAGATCATTATTGGCCATAATGAAGTCAAATGTTGAGGAGATATTCTCAGCAGCAAAACTCTGAAAAACAGAAACATCTGAGCAGCAACTATGGATGTCTGTCCGACTCTGAGATTGTCTGTCAGGCGTTCTAAAGAAAGAAGATTTTAGAGGTGTCACACAGATAGGTAGTTTTGGGTTTCTTAACAGACAAATAAAAAGTACAGTATAAAAAAATGAGTATTAAGAGAACGTTTCTGTACTCCCAGTCTGCTCTTAGCCATCTCTTTTGGAACTATAATTGTTTCTGTCCTTTTATAAAGGAAGGGAATCACAGCTGCTACCCCATGCCACAGGTGAGTAGAGTCAACTAAACATCTGACTCCAGGTCAGAAACCCATTGGATGACCACTGAATACTGAAGTTTTCGTCTAAAATATAAATTATGCCATACAAAAACCAAAAACAATGCTTGTGGGTGTGGACCTATAAGATTATATAGACTGGCTGACCAACAACAACCTAATTTTAGGGTGGGGGTTGGAGGCAGAGAGAATAAACAAAATATTCTGTGAATAAAATTCCAACCGGAATGGAAGGATTCTTCATATCAAGGAACAACCTTGTTTCCTCAGAATACTGGGTTGTTAGGGATGAGAAATTTAGATACTGGCTATCAAAAATGAGGGGGCTACAAAGGCATGAGTGGTTAGCTCACAAGTTTTCATGAGTGTGCTTAGTTGCAGAATGGGGGGGGCAGGGGTGACATAAAGAGCAAAATGGATAAGAAAACAAGATCCTTCAATAGATTGTCTACAAGAGACATATCAAAAAGATGGAGACAGCCTAAATGCCGATCAACAGAAGAACGGTTACACAAACTTTGGTACATACACACAATGGAATTCTATAAAACATTGAAGAATAATGATGAATCTGTGAATCACCTCACAACCTGGTTGAACCTGGAGGACATTACACTGAGTGAAATAAGTCAATCACATAAGGGCAAATATTGCATGAAACCAATGTTGTAAAACATTAAAAAACAAAAAATTTGTAAAGTTTTGGCTTGATGGCCAAGACAAAAACTAAATCCTGCAAGGGGGTGGGAGTCAGGGGGAGAGACGTATATTAAATTCTCTAGCCCCTAACACTCTTCTCTACTTCTCCATGGAAGTAACTGTAGAACACATTTTTCAAAACTTAAGGTCTCTGAGGAACTACTACAGACCATGAAATTTGAAGGCTTTCTGCCTGTGAGTGACTCCAGCCTAGCAGAGCTTAATTCCATCCTGTACCTAGTTTTAAGTGTTCAGATGCCAATTGTAGAGTTGCAATCAGTGTCAAAAACTAAGCATGTATGAAGTGTTGAATGGGAAACCAATTTGCTCCATATACTTTTACTCAAATAACAATAAAATGTTAAAAAAATGAAATAAAAACAATCTGCTCTGGACTGAATTGTGTCCACCAAAAAGACATTTTGAAGTTGTAACCTAATACCTATAAGCATGACCTTGTTTGGAAACATGATCTTTGCTGATGTAATCAAGTTAAAATGAGGTCATACTGAAGTTGTTGTTAAGTGCTATGGAGTTTGTTTCAATTCACAGTGACCCTCTCTAGGGCTTCAGAGGCTTTATATCTTTTGTAGGAGCAGAAAGTTTCATCTTTCTCCTGCGAAAAGGCTGACGGGCTTGAACCACCAATCTTGTGGTTCAAAGTCCAGTGCTCATTTTATGGAGCTACCACATTTCCCATACTAAAGCTGTTGTTGTTAAGTGCCGTCGAGTCGGTTCCAACCCATAGCGACCCTGTACAGGGTTCCGAGGGTGTAAATCTTTATGGGAGTAGAAAGCCTCATCTTTCTCCCGCGGAGTGGCTGGTAGTTTCAAACCGCTGACCTTAAGGTTTTCAGCCTGATTTGTAACCACTACGCTACCAGAGCTCCTTTCCATACTAAAGTAGGCTGGTTCAATATGGTTCATACAGTCCATTATGACTGGTGCTCTTATGAGAAGAAAAGAGACAAACACACAAGGAGAATGCCATGTGATAACAGAGGCAGAGACTGAAATGATGCATCCACAAAGCAAAAAACACCAAGGGCTGACTTCTGGTAACATCAGAAGCAAAGAGAGAGTCAGGCAACAGACTCTCCCCTAGAGCCTTCAGAGGGAGCGTGGCCCTGCTGACCCCTTGATTTTGGACTGGTAGCCTCAGAACTGTGAATGAATCAACAGACATTGGTCTGTTGTTTTAAGCTATGCTGGGTGGAACTTTTTGTTTAATGGCAGCTGTAGGAATCTTGCTAATCAATATTAACATCAGAGTACTTTATTTTTAAAATTAAAGTCTTACATATATTGATTGATTTCCAAAGTTTTTCTACAAGGAAATGTCAAAAAGTTTGTTGCTGTTGTTAAGTACCGTAGAGTCGATTCTAACCCATAGTGTCCCTATATCAGGTTTCTGAGGAGCAGCTGGTGAGCTTGAACCACCAATCTTGCAGTTCAAATGACTTTGCAGTCTGACACATTAGCCCACAGCGCCACACCAGGACTCCAAATAGTTTGTAGAAAACAGAATGAAAAGATAATGGAATTTTTCTTTTTGAAGCCACCTCTTATGATGCTGATAGTTTCGGCTCTCACTTAAGCGCTGATTTTAACACTCAACTATTCTGCCCAAATGTGCTCCACTAGTCAGTTAATCTCAGCTGTGTGTGTGTGTGTGTGTGTGTGTGTGTGTGTGTAAGGGGGAGGGAGCGCTGCCCATCTTACCTTGTATCAGTGGAAGGTAAGGGTGATACTGATCGAATTCTCCACTGAAGATGGCAAAAGCCTGGCGCTTTAACAGCATGGCTTTCTGCTCAAAACTTGAAAACAGCTTTAAAGAACTGCTCTGCATGTCTAGAATGAATATAGCAAATAAGTTACACGGAGTGAGAAAAGTATATTAAGTCATAGGAAATTAGTGTTAAGTGTAATTTCTATCTTCCCTAGTTAAAAAAGAAAATTCAATCATGATCTTTTTGAAATGGGGTCATGTGATTTTTTTCATTCCCATATTTATTTATTTTAAATTTCTTTAATGATATTTAGCGACAATATTAGAAGAGAGCATGAGGTATACATTCTATTGCTGACCTTGTGGTTCAAAATGACCTTGTAGCTTATCTACAGCGTTAGAGGTACACATAAGCACTCTTACTAAATTATAGTGAACTTATCATTATTTTCAACACAAAACTCAGATCCTGCCATGGCCGTTTCCCATCATCTCTCTCTCCCCATTACGAACTGTAGAGAAGGTGGTCCTTCTTATCAACAGACTAGACTGAGGAGGCTCAGTCATTTAGCCCTGACAGACACAACCCTCCACACTGTGGCTTGAGGCACAGATGGCACCATACAAGATTTACATAAGGTTCTGAAATGCATGGCCATGCCTAACAACCAGGTCATTAGGCCTCCAACTTGTGCAAGTAACGTCGAACTTACTCATTAAATCTTTAAACATGGTTCTCTCATGAGCCAGAAGATGATCAATAATGGACCTCCAACTAGATACAAAGCAAAGCAAAGTTAATGAGATATCAAATGGATGGTTGTCTGATTAAGAGCTTCTGGAAAATAACGTTGCCCTTTATGAACTGTTTATTATTACAGGCAACTTTCTGAGAAGATCTGGGTGAAATTAATACATAGCTTCTATGTAAGTGTCTGCTAGTGCAAGCTTGTCATTAATAGCCACAACACAGGGAATGAAAGAAGACTTTGCCTTGGATTTTCTAGGTGTTGTAAAAGCACACAAAATTGGCTGGCTGATTTTTTCAAGGCTTGCCTTCAAAAACATTCATATTGATGGTGTTCTGTGTCTGTGCTAATAGAAAGAAGTGAAGGCCACTTCCTCTACAGAGGCCTTTCAAATAGGTTCCCCACAGGAGAGAAAGAAGATGGCAATGGGGACATCCACAGGGCATGAAGGAGCCTTTTGGTGGTGGCAGGGTCAACTCCAAGCCACACAAAGAGGTTGACTTCGATCTCCCACCCTCCACCCCTGTGCCTTCCCTGCCGTGGACTAAAACCTACTACACCAAGCCCTGGGAGAGTTAACTAAGTGGTTTTGTTGATCTTCCAGGAGAGGCAGCGTGCACATCTCCATTTATCTTTAAAAGGATCTTCACTGATGGCTAGGGATCTAGTTTGTGGCAGAGCTAGTGTGAATGATGGACAGGTGGGGCTAGAGATACAGCTGGCCTCACTGTTGTTGTTAAGTGCCATCCAGTTGCTAGTAGTTGTCATTTAAATGTTGGTCTTTTATGGCCATGTAGTACTAGACTAAGCATCAGTGGGATCCCATAGTATGCTCTTCAGGAATAATAAAAATACCAAACCAATTGCTGTGGAGTCAACTCTGCCTCACAAAGACCTCATTTGCATGAAAGTAGATCTCCAGACCTCTCTTCCAGGTTCCCCTGGGTGAACTCAATCTTTCAATGGTTCAGTTAGCAGCTGCGCTTGCTGTTTATACCATGCGCAGGGACTCCATAACCTCTCTCAGTTATGTGAAATGCCTCCTTTGAAAAATAAGGGACCTTTGTATTTTCAAAGACTGAACTCGTGCCCCCTGAACCCACAGTAAACATGTGAGTTGTGGCAGTGACCTACTATTATATGGGCTGATGTTAAAGAACTGTATCAGATGAGACTAAATCCCCTGGAAGGTACAGTGCATATGTGTGTCTCAGAACAGCATGTCTTACTGAACACAAGAGGTATCCATCTGAAAGAAAGCGGGGTCCAAGAATAATTCCAGGACTTCTTTCTTCCAGGCTCGTTTTGTGTAGGAGTAACCGCTCAGATCACTCAGAAGCTGAGCCCCAGCGCGGAAGCTGGGAGCATTGTAGGCACTAAATGGGGGTGGGAAGAGAACATGGTCCTGGTCAGAGTGATGACAGTCCAAGGAAAGCCACTCGATTCCTTTCTTTACGTATCTACATATTCATATTCCTTTACATGTGGGAAGGGGATGCAGAGAAGGCAGTGTTAACCTGTGGTTGCGCAGGTAAGGAAAAACATAGTAAAGCAAACGTGAGATCAATGGCACGGCTTTCTCCTTCTCATCACTTCGGTAAACCATGTCCAGGAGAGACGCCAGAACCTAAAAAAAAGATGACAGTAAAAAGCCAGAAATCTTCTGAAGTGACGATAAGAAATGTAGTCCTTAAAGAACTACACATAGAAATTCCACAAGAAGGTTCTAGGACAGGGGTGGGGAACTGCTGCATGTTGTTTTTTTTGTTGTTAAGTGCCTTAGCAGTCCAGTGCTGATCCCTGATCCTACAGCACCACACTAGGACTCCCGTAAAATAGTTCCAGCCATCACCTTGTTGCTGTTGTTGTTAAGTGCAGTCTAGTAGGGTCTGACTCATAGCAACCCTGTATATGGTTTCTGAGGAGCAGCCAGTAAGCTTGAACCACTGACCCTGTAGTCCAAATGACTTCTCAGTCCAGCGCATTAGCACGCAGTGCTACACCAGGCCACTACATTGGTGGTGGTGGTGTGCCATGGAGTCAGTTCTGACTCATAGCAACCCTGTATAGGCTGTAAATCTGTACAGGAGCAAAAGCCTCATCTTTCTCCTGCAGAACAGCTGGTAGTTTCGAACTGCTGACCGTGAGATTAGCAGCCTGACTTGTAACCACTATGCTACCAGAGCTCCTTGGTGGTGGTGGTTATGACTCATAGCAACCTGTACAGGTTCAGACTCATAGTGACCCTGCATGGGGTTTCAGAGGCTGTAAATCTTTATGGGAGCAGAAAGCCTCATCTTTCTCCCACGGAATGGCTGGTAGTTTCGAACTGCTGACCTTGTGTTTCGCAGTCTGATTTGTAACCACTATGCTAGCAGAGCTCCTTCATCTTTCTTTAGGGGTGAGTTAATCAAATGTTTGACCAAGTATAGCAGGCAAAATTTTAAGTTGATAATTTTGTATGGCCCATTAATGATGTTATAAATATCCAGATGGCCCTTGGCAGAAAAAAGGTTCCCCACCCCTTCTTCAGGCCAAGGCTGACTTAGAAGCTTGCCATGGAGGGGTCAGCCACACCTCCTGGGCCCAAAGCATGGTATGTCTTTACCACAATTCCCCATGGCAATCATTTACATGTTGTTGTTGTGAAGTGCCGTCGAGTCGATTCTGACCCATAGTGACCCTGTATAAAATTCCCAAGGAGCAGTTGGTGAGCTTGATCCACCAACCTTGCAGTTCAAATGACTTTGCAGTCTGACGCTTTAGACCACAGAGCCACAAGAGAACTCCATCATTTACATAAGGGATGACAGATGAGTCCTGTATTTACCTCTGCCAGGAGAGAGAGGGCTTGCACGCTGTACACCGAAGGGGCAGATGCAGACACCATCGAAGAAGCTGCAGCAGCTTCCGCTGAAACAGACATTGTGCTTTAAGTTGTAATAGTGCCATTTATGCCCTCAAAGCATCACCTGACTTTGAGAAATGAGTTCCCACTTTTCATAGTGACTGTGTATATAACTTAATGGCATTCCTTGCTGCTAACATGTGAAATTTCAAGAGCTAAGAATCTGTACATTTTGATGACACGCATTTGCACTGATTCAGTTTGTTTCTATTTCTAGTGTCGTCATCATTCTTGGAATTTCAACATCTACTTGAAGAATTAATCTAACATTCAAGTTTCTAAGCCTCTTTTCAATTCCAGTAATTTTTAATTCTGACCCAGCTCAACCATCCTAGGACCTCATCAATTTCTAGGAGCACCACATCTAAAGTCTGCATATCAAACAGCTTGCACGGACCACCACCATCTTCTCTTTCTTGCTTGCCCACCCTCAGAACCTTGCTCCAGCAGTTTCCCGAATATCACTAGTGCCCTGATTCTACTGCCTTGACTGTCCACCCAGGGCTCCAGGTTTCCACTACTCCCCCCTCCTTACCATCTCCCATCTCTATTGTCTACCTTGTAAACACCTTGCCTCTCTCGCTCTCTGAAGTGCACACCTAGGAGAATGCTAACTGCCATGGTTTGTCTATGCAGTCCTGGCATAACTAATTGTTCCTGGAGAAGACCACACCACTATGCAATGAATCTCACTCTTTCAAGGCCATGAACCTACAACATGTCCCTGGGTGGTATGCTGGTTTTCCTACTCTACAATTCTTTCACACCTTCACAAGTCCCTTAATATCCTGCACTCTCCTCCTCAGCTAATAACTTTACCTCATAAGAAAACCAAACCAAACAATGCCATCAAGTCAGTTATAACTCAGAGTGACCCTTAGTTTCTGAGACTGTAAAAATCTTTATGAGAACAGACAGCCTTATCTTTCTCCTGAGAAGCAGCTGGTGAGTCTGAACTGATAACCTTGTGGTTAGCAGACCACTGCTTATAACACAGTGCCACCATTCAAAAAGTTCATGGAAAAAATTCCATTGTCTTTCAACTCAATTCTTCCCCGAACCTTTTGAAGCCCCCTTGTATTTGAAAAAATGCTATCAAATTGAAATGACTTCTTTTCGCCATTACAAGTAATTAATCCAGAGCATTTATATCCGTATTTTCTGCCTCTTCTTCTGTTTCAATAAACATGTCCTTAATTTCCTATCAAATTACAATAACTCCATTTATATTAATTTTGGTCCTCTGGCTTTCAAGGACTTTGCGCTCTCTTATATTAATTTCTTCCTCTCTTCTGCGCTGCTCTCAGCAGCACACAAAGGCTTTGATAAAGTCCAATTTAGAAACAATCAAAATGACACAAACCATTCTTAGATCTTTAGTCTCTCTTGGTTACTGTCCTCTTTACAATTACTCTTCAGAGATTTTTCAACTCTCACTATCTCTGCTTCTTCATCGTCCATTCTGTTCTTGACCTCCTGCCAGCAATCTTCCCTTATCGTCCACCCCACCCACCCCCAATGACTTTCATGTCACCCAGGCCAGTGTGTGTCTGGTCTTATCTTACTCTGCTGCTCAGTGGCCAGGTTCTACATGGTTACCTACTCCTACTTCTCTTCTTGAAATACTTTCTTCTGGTAGTTTCCAAGACTCTAGCAAGTTCACCAGCTACTCCTCGGAAACCCTATACAGGGTCGCTATGGGTCAGATATGGGTCAGAATCAACTCCACGGCACTTAACAACAACAACAACAACAGCCTCTGTTAGTTTTCCTCCTACCCCCAGACTACTTCTCACCTTTGCTGGCTCCTTTCCCTTTTCAGAGAGCTCACACTTAATATGTGCAAATGGAACTCAATTTCCCCTTTCAGTCTTCTCCATCTCAATAAACAAAGTCAAAAACCTTGATTGCTCTTTTTAAAAATTAATCATACATCCAATTCATTAGCAATGCTTGTTGAGTGATTTACATCAGTTGCTATAACTCCTCCTTCCAAAACCACATTATCTCTTGCCCAACCCATTGCAATGTCCTTTTAACTGGACTTCCATATTGCTCATGGCAGCCAAACTGATGTTTTCTATTGCTTGAATAAGGTCAAGGTCGCTGCTCTCCATACTTGAATGGTTTTCCATAGCAAGTGGAATAAAACTTAAGCTCCTTACTGTGCTCTACAAAGCCTGCACATTGAACTCCTATGATCCAGGAGACAGCTGTGCTGGCAGGGAAGTGGCAGCAGCATCAACAGCATGAGACACAGTAAGGGGCTTCCCAGCCCATGGAGCAAGGGGAGGTGAGTGACTTCAGGAAGAGGGCTCACTTGTGAAGTGGGGTGCCTCCAGGCATTTAATTGGGGGAGCTAGACCTGAGTACCTTCAGGCTGAGGATTACGGCATAATGGCATGCCCTCTGGGCATTTATCTAGTGCTAAAAGAGCTTTGTAACACTGCCTAAGCAGGGCAGAGGTCAAGGAACTGTGTCGCTGGGAGGCTGAGGACTAGAGAGAGGCCTGCCTGCTGGCATGACTGGGAAGACGCTGTCCTGACTGAAGCACTGTGTTCTGAGCATTTCTGCTCCTGAACTGTAACTTGCTAATTTCCCTAATAAGCCCCACAACTCTGAGCATTGTTGGTTCTGTGTAGTCACTGCAATGGATTATAGGACGCAACAAAGAAACAGAGAACACTGTGGGAGGGACGGTTAGGGTCAGAATTTATACAGACGGTTGGATGGAGGATGGAGGGATGCCTGACCTCTGCCTCAGAGGAACTGACTGATGAGTTTGATTCTAGTTCCCCTTTGGGGGAGTCAGAGTCAGAGGAGGTGAGACACCATCCCCACGCCCTTTTCACAGTAGCCTTTTCAGAATGGCTTCTTTCGCTTAACAATATACACTTGAAGTTCCTCCACATCTTTTTGTGGCTACATAGCTCATTTCTTCTTATCACTGAATACTACTCCATTGTATGAAGATACCACAGTTGGTTTACTCAACCAATGGGCATCTTGGTTGTTTCCAATTTGGGGTAATTATGAGTAAAGCTGCTATAAACATTCATGTGCAGGCTTTTATCTGAATATATGCTTCCAGCTCATTTGGAAAAATACTTAGGAGCATGACTACTACATCTTATGGTAAGCCTATGCCTAGCTCTGTAAGAAATCACTCGGACATCTTTCACAGTGACTGCACCCTTCTGCATTCTCACCAGTAATGAATGAGAGTCGCTGCTGTTCTGCATCCTCACCAACAGTGGATGCCGTCAGTGTTTAGGATTTTAACCATTGTAATTGGCAAGTAGTGGTGTCTCAGGGTGTTCATTTATACTTCTCTAATGACATGTGAGAGGAGCTCTGGTAGAGTAGTGGTTACGAGTCAGGCTACGAACCTCAGGGTTGGCAGTTCGAAACTACCAGCTGTCCCAAGGGAGAAAGATGAGGCTTTCTGCTCCTGTAAAGATTTACAACCTTGGAAACCCTGTACAGAGTTGCTATAAGTTGGAACTGACTCCCTGGCATATAACCACCACCACCACCACTACCAATGACATGTGAAAGCACTAATGGTGCAGTGGGTAAGCACTTGACTCAACAAAGAAAGGTCTGCTTTGCAAAAAAAGACGTGGCACTCTGCTTCTGTAAAGATTACTGTTGTTGTTAAGTGCCATCAAGGTGGTTCCGACTCATCAGCAACCCTGTGTAGGGTTTCTGAGGCATGGCTGGTGGGTTTGAACAGCCAACTGTGGTTAGCAGTCCAATGCTTATTGTACAGCACCACAACAGGCTTGGAAAAACAATGGGTGCAGTTCTACCCTATCTTATTGGGTCACTATGAGTTAGAGTTGAATTGGAGGTAAAGGGCCCTTTTTCATTTAATGAATGTCAGAAGATATTGAGCATGGTGATTTATTTTTTGATTTTCATCTCTTCTATGTTCCATTAAAGAAGAGGCCCAACCGATTTTGTTTGCTGCTCTAGCAGCAGGATCTAGAACATGATGTGTGACACATACTTCTCTCACAGGCTTATATTAGGAACCTTTACATTCACTGCATATAGAACCATTTTAAAAGGAGAAAAAGAAGAAAAGCATTTTGTATCATGTTTTATGTGGCCAGTATATGGATACATGATTTGCTTGTTGTTGTTGTTAGGTGCCACTGAGTCAGTACCAACCCATAGCGACCTTATGCACAGCAGAACGAAACCCAATCCTGGGCCAACCTCACTACTGTTGCCACGCTTGAGTCCACTGATGCTGCCACTTGGCCAATCCATCTTGTTGGGGGTCTTCTTCTTTTTCTCTGACCTTCCACCAAGACTAAAATAAAATAGAGCTATGATCCAAACATGTAGTTTTTCCAGTGGCCTACATTTACTGATTGTCTACTGAGATGCTAAAAAAATCAGTAAACATTTCACTATATCACTAGTGGTGATGGTGGTTATGTGCAATGGAGGTTAAACTTAATTACTGCATAAAAACATGACGTTAGAGTCCGCACAGCTGCCCGGGTGGTGAAGCTGCAGTTTAATGGGCACATCCGACAGAAACAACCAAGTGAAGATTAGTCAGGTAGTAGCAAGAGCTCTTTCTCTCTTGCCCTAGAACCACAGTTGTAACCATAGCCACAGGCTGAGAAAGCATAATTGTTGGGTGATAGCAGCAAATGATAGTATACTAGTTACAGCATCTTTATTACAGAATTAAGTATAATTATCTCTTTTATGCCAACCACAGAACTAGCTATCAAATATGGTGGAAGGATTATATACTGTAGGGATGCTGTTTGTCTGTCCAACACACCTCTCTCACTCCTTCTTCTGGGATTAGTACCCTCTTTCAGGAGCCTTGGTCACACTGTGGGTTAGGCACTGGGCTGCTAACCACAAGGCTGGTAGTTCAAAAACAACAGTAACTCTGCAGGAGAAAAATAAAGGCTGCCTGCTCTCACAAAGACTAAAGTCTCTGGAAACCTACATAAGGCTGCAATCAGTCGGAATTGGCTTGGTGACAGTAGGTTTGGTTTGGGTTTTTAGGTGGAGAGTCCATTTCAGGGATTTCAGTACATCAATCTTCTTTCCTACGTCTTGGGTCAGGCACATGACCCATACTAAACCAAACAAATACCTAGCTCATGTTGGTTTATAGCAAATCTGCTGCACAAGACCCTTTTAAGGTGTTGAAGAACAAAGATGTCAGTTTGAGGACTAAGGTGCACCTGACCCAAGCCATGGTATTTTCAATAACCTCATATGCATGTGAAAGCTGGACAGTGAATAAGAAGACCTTAGAAGAATTGATGCATTTGAATTGTGGTGTTGGAGGAGAATATTGAAAGTGCCATGGGCTGCCAAAAGAACCAACAGATCTGTTTTGGAAGAAGTGCAGCCAGAGTGCTCCTTGGAGGCCAGGATGGCTAAACTTCGTCTTTCAGACTTCAGACATATTATCAGGAGGGACCAGTTGCTGGAGAAGGATATCATGTTTGGTAGGATGGAGGGTCAGAGAAAAAGACGAAGACACCTAGTGAGATGGATTAGCAAAGTGGCAGCATCAATGGGCTTATATGTGGCAATGATGGTGAAACTGGCCCAGGATCAGGCAATGTTTCGTTTTGCTGTGCATAGGGTCGCTGTGGGTCAGGACTGACTCGATGGCACCTAACAACAACAACAACACAGATGGGTACTTTTAGCTGATATGAGCTAGAAGGGCTGGATTTCTTGTGTTTGTTTCAGTTAGTCTAAGGTGATTCTGTTACTCATGCCCCAAAGAGCCATGACTGACTAACTCCTCTTTTCTTGTATATTTTGTCTGTTGTTGGTAGATGCTGTGGATTCCCTGCCTACTCACAGCGATCCCATGTAACAGAGCAGAACGGCCCTGTAAGATTTTCTTGGCTGTAATCTTTTTGAGGAGTCCTAGTGTTGTGCTGTGGGTTAGCTAGACTGCTATGTTGATTTGAACTGCTAGGTTGGTCGTTCAAATTCACCAGCTGGTCCTTGGAAACCCTAAACAGGGTTGCTATGGATCAGAATTGACTTGATGGCACTTAACAATAACAACAACAATCTTTTCGAAAGCAGATTTCAGGTTTTCTTCTGCAGAGCTTCTGGGTGGGTTCACACCCCCAACCTTTTGGTTAGCATCCATGCACGGAACTGCTGTGCCACTGGGCTGTGTGAACCACAAGGTCGGCGGTTCAAATTCACTAGCCACTCCTCAGAAACCCTATACAGGGTCGTTATGAGTCGTCAGACCTGACTTGACAGTACTTAACAATAGCTAGTCAGAAGGCTGGGTTGTGCCTATTCTAGGTTGCGGCTACTATAAACACCAAGTATTTGCACATTTCATGTAATGAGATGAACACCAAGCATCACTGAAAAGCAAGGGTGTATACAAAGAAATGAAATACACAGCATAAAAATGCCTGACAATGGCTTGTTGGGTTACAAGCTTGTCCTCCACAGTGACACAAGATGAAAAATATACACTGTCATCTTCTTTATCCCACATTGCTATTCAATCACTTACTCTTACTACAAGTCCATTACCTGAGGAAGTTCCTAGTTCGAAGCCTTTTCTAGGCTCAGTGGTTGCTTACATCACTGAGGATGCTCTTTGGTGGAATTCTAATGCTTACTACAGTGAAATCTGGGATAGCATGAACCCAATGGGACTACTTTGATTTTCTGGGGTCTCGAAAGCTTTCTGCCTTTGACAGGATTGAGTTGTACCACTTTCTACTGCTCGTTTTAATGGGAATGAGTTTTCCTTCTCTGTACGGTTTCCATGTTACACAGGTTCCAGCGTTTGCAGGTTTGACTGTATTACTAAAACAGCGGCTGCTGTCAAGTCTCCGCGATTCATGGAGACCCCATGTGTTTCAGAGTAGAACCGCACTGCATGTGATTTCCAGTGACTGTGACCTTCCCGACGTAACCCTCATTTTCAAGGTGCTGCTGGGTGGATTCAAACCACCAGTCTTGGGGTTAGCAGTTGAGTGTTTGTATCATCTAGGACCTAATGCTTAATATACACACAATTTATAGTGCAAAAGGTAAAATCAGACTTTTTTTCTTTTAAAAGAAAAAAATTAGAACCACTAGTTGGCAGCTCACATGATCTGTTGATCCCGGCATTACCTACCGCACAACTCTTCTTCAGCGTCAGATTCTTCCAAAGAGATCTGAGGCTGGGCCTTCACCTCCAGATTTCTGCTCAGCCAGCTAGTCTGTTCTAGGGAAGAACCAGCGATGTTCCCCACGGCTTCTAGGATTTTTTGAGTGACTTCCTGGGAGTAGTCAGGAGAAAAAAGAAAGGAAGTTAGTTAAAGACAAGAATCCGAGAGTGTCTAATATGTTCTGTCCAGTGGAAATATAATGCAAGGCTCAATGGTCCAAGCTCAGTGGTCCAAGCTCACCAGCCACTCCTTGACGACACTTAACAACAACAACAACAACTATGAGTCATACATACAAAACTGAATTTCCTAGGAGCCCTGGGATGGAGCTGTAGGAAAAGGACTGAACTAATAACCAAAAAGTGGGCTGTTCAAACCCAGCTGCCACTCCTTGGAAACCCTTTGAAAATGGGTCACTATGAGCTGGAACCAACTTGACGGCACACACCAACAAGGAACCACATTAAAAAGTAAAAAGAAACAGGTAAAATTAAGTTTAATATTTTATTTAACCCAATGTGAGGTTATATCAAACAGTGCTACAAATATCTTGACTAAACAAGAATATCAAAATGTAAGGCTACTTATTGTTTTTTGATATCTCCTCCATCTAAGTCTATACACTTCTGAAGGTTGTGTTTCAATCTCTCCAATCATTCCTTGAAGAATTCTATGCACTTTGATTCACACCATGTTAAAATGGCAGTTTTAGGATCCTTGAGGTACACAAATCATGCTCTTTCTCAACATTCTTTGAGTTTGGGGAACAAAAGGAAGTCTGAGTGGACAGGATGACTCTATAGAGAGGATAGGGTAAGTCTCCCAATGACATTCTCCTAGGACAGCCCTTGTTACCCTTGAAGAATGAGCAGGTACATTGTCATGATGGAAAAAATTCCTTTCCTGGCCTTTTTTCCCCAACAATGCAGCTTTCTTAAACCTTCTTCATAATAATCCCTGTGATTATTCTGTATCCTTCAAGAAAACGTATTAATACTACTACCCCTCGGGAATCACAAAATCAAGTCACCATCATTTTCTGAGCTAACTCTCTGCCTTGAATTTAACTGGTCCAGCAGATCCTCTTGGAAGCCACAGTTTTGCTTTGAAGGCACCCTAACGAGACTAAGACAAGTGTATTTCTTTAAGAACTGATTACAGAGATATGTCTAAACACATTTTGTTTGGAATAAACTTGTGAATGTATGAACTAGAACCCTAGTAGTAAAAATTTTTTACTTACCCTTGTGTAACCACAGTATCACCAACATGCAACCAATATAAAAAATTTTGAATGAGATTTTACATTTATTCTCCCACACTAACTCTTCGAAACCTGGTGTGTGTTTTATACTTCCAGTACATGTGAACTGCCAACTTTGCAGCTAGAGGTCGAGAGCTTAACTGTTTTACCACCCAGGGTATGGACTGGTGGTGGTGGTATGCCGTGGGGTCGGTTCCAACTCATAGTGACCCTGTACAGGGTTTCCAAGGCTGTAATCTTTATGGGAGCAGAAAGCCTCATCTTCTTCCTGAGCTCAGGGTATACATAGCACAAAAAACCTTCATAGTGGCTGTCTTGTCAGTGGAATTATGCATGATTTTAACTTTTTTATTTTTAAATAATTTCAACTTCAAGAAACTTTCTTTTGGCCAACAGTTAACATTCTGTGCTATTTGCTTTGTTACTTTCTCTTTATGTGCACACATTGTCTTCTGACCCATTTGAGAGTAATTTGCAGACATCAAATTCCTTGATAACTTGATACTTGCGTATTTCCGAAGAACAAGGACCACAGCATAGTTTTCAAAATCAGGTTCTGTGGTATTGACGTATAACGACTCTATACAGCAGGAGGGATTGTTGTTGTTAAGTGCTGTCGAGTCAGTTCCAACCCATAGCAACCCTGTATAGGGTTTCTGAGGAGCAGCTGTTGAGCTTGAATCACCGACCTTGTAGTTCAAATGGCTTTGCAGTATGGCGTATTAACCCAGAGTGCCACACCAGGATTCCATAGAAGGGGTGGGGAACCTTTTTTCTTCCAAAATTTATTTAAAAAAAAAAATCATTTGTAAGTCATATAAAATTATCAACTTAAAAAATTAGCCGGCTATATTTGGTCAAACACTGAATGAACTCACCCCTAATGTGATGACTGGAGTCTGTTGTGGTACTGCAGGTTAATGTATTGGACTGCAAAGGTGGTTTAAACGACAAGGTCGGCAGTTCAAGCTCACCAGCCGCTCCTCAGCAACACTATAAAGGGTCACTATGGGTCAGAACTGACTCAATGGCACTTAACAATAACAACATGATGGTTGGAACAGCGGTTGCCTTGGCAGGGCCAGACCAAATGATTTCGTGAGCCTTATATGGCCCGAGGGCTGGATGTTCCCCATTCCTTCTGTATACAGGGCTTCCGAAGCTACCAATCTTGATGGGAGCAGACAGTCTCATCTTTCTCCTGAGGAGCAGCTGGTAGTTTTGAGCTGCTGACCTGGCTATTAGTAACCCAACTTGTAATGCTATCAGAGCTCCTTAATCAATCTACATTCTATGTTGTTTTGCCAATGGGTCCAACAATGCCTTTTACAGCAGCTTCTCACCAGTCTAGAATCCAATTCAGGGCCACACATTGCATTTGGCTGACATTGGTTGTGTTATTTCCTTTAATTCAGAACTGCCTCTGTGTCTCTCATGATGCGACACGGACATTTTAAAAGGCACAGGCCCTCCTCTTCTGTAGAATGCCACTCAATCAATGTGAGTCCTGTTGAGTTTTTGGCAGGAGCACTGAAAGCATGGTGTCCTTTTCAGCAGCCACGCCAGGGTGACATTAAGCAGGCTGCCCTGTTACTGGTGAGGCTACTTTCTATTTAAAGGTGGGGGTTACTACTCTCTCCACTATAATGAACAAGTGCTGCATGCCACCTCCCCTCCAAATAATGTGCACAAGTAAGTAATGCACCCACATATGCACTAAGTGGAAAGGACGAAATTAAGTAAAACCGTTTGGCCTAGTGTGCCCAGGCATATATTACATGTCTTATGACATTTCCAGAGGTGAATTTTGGCTTCATTTACCTGCCCTCCCCATATTACAGACAAATCATATTATTCTGTTCATTTTCCTTTATTCTGTTCATTTTCTTTAATCTCCTGGTGTGGCACTGTAGGATAAGCACTGGACTGCTAACTGCAAGGTCAGCAGTTCAAACTCACCAGTCACTCTTTGGAAATGCTATCTGACTCAAGGCACTTAATAATAATAACATGTGTATGAACATAGTCTGAAAATGTTACTTTTTTTTTTTTTAATGTTTTATTGTGAATTATGTGATAGTGAAAATGTTACTTCTTAATTGTATAATAAAGGTGTAAGAATAAGAAGTTATGAATTAAGTTTGGTAGTCCCTCTGTAATTGGAAAATAAACAATCAAAACCACATACTTGTTTCTATTAACTGAAGTTGATAATCAGAAACTAGAAGTTGAAGTGTGAAAATCATATCAGATCATCTTAAGTGAAATCATGAGGTTATGTTAGGGCAGCTTATTTCATAGTACAATTATGTCTTCTTAGAGTCAACTGAAGTTAACAACATGTATAAAATTGGCACAGCATGCTTACAAATATAACACGCACATCTGGGAGTAGCAGCGGGGGCGTGGCATGGTTGGAAAAAGCATTTGCAAAAAAACAAAAACAAAATATTCATGGGTGGGGATCTTTTGTTTGAGAGCTATGTTTCATTCAAGGCTATTAACAAACATTCAGTTAATGTAATCTATGATTATAAATGTTACAATATAATGATTTTCAAGCTCTATTAATTGGCATTCTATTGTAAGGAGATGTTTTTCTTTTTTCATATGAGTGATTTTTTGCTTTTACTTTTCAGTGTTTTCAAAATCTTCTGAGTATGTATTACTTCTAAGAAGCCCTATTGGTATAGTGGGTTACGTGTTGGGCTGCAAACCTCAAGCTCAGCGATTCAAACCCACCAGTGGCTTTGAGGGAGAAAGATGAAGCTTTCTTGCTGGGAGCCAACCCTCTGTTGCCGTTTGACACAGTCCCGGCAAAGGAGAGACATCAGCACAGCAGATGGTTTTTGGGAAAGCACCCTTTATCTCTCTTCTTTGGGATGGTTCTGATTCCACTTGTAGGGATATATTGTACTGCCACATTCATGGCTCCCACTGTGAGTTCTGCAGAGCTTAGGAAAAACCAGTCTTGCACCAATTGTTTCCACTTTGCTGGATTAGATTCAAAGAGAATTTTAGACAAATTAAAGTAGCGTGACCTATTCCCTCTCACAGAAAACTCCAATACAAAGCAGCTGCATTTATGAGATCACAGAAGCAGATAAAAAACTAAAGTGAAGCTGACCGACCCCTATGAACCCCACCTAAGTCAATTACTGGCCAGAATCCACAAACCCCCTACTACCACATACAGGAACATACGTAATTGGGCAAAGAATAGTGAACCTAAATAAAAGGCGGTCAAAATTTAATAGAGTACCTTTCCTGCAACAATTAACCAGGTTGGGCCCTTTAACATGCTTCATGGCCCCAAAAGAAAGAAACATAGAAACACTGTGGTTAAGCAATTTAATGAATACTTTAGAAAAACAAAATAATTGAATAGATGTTAGTAATGCTGTTACTATAGAAAATAGTAGTACTTTATGTAGGATAGAAGATTGATAATTAGCTAGTAGAAACAATAAGGTAGTGTAGGCAAAGATGATTGAGTCAATAGAAACTTATATTAGAAAGAGGATGTAATCAGGGTTTGGGAGGTGGAAATGATTTGTATAAGGTTTAACTTGATCTTTTAGTAGGAATAAGATAAAACAATCTATCAATTACGTAGAAAAGGAGATGATGTCAGAAGAAAAAGTACTTAATGGTCAGAAAATGAACAGGATATGGAAAGGTCAGGTGGGACATTATAGAAATACTTTTGTTAAGATTTTATAATCACAAGATGAAAGAATGATATAATTAAAAATGTGAATAATTCAAGGGAAAATATCAAAGTATCAAATCATCATGCATTGTGTAACTTTAAGTATAAATAAAGACTTGCTGAGCCGGGCCAGTGAGCTCCATCAGCCAACTAAGCAGAGACTCCTCGATTACTTTCACTTTTGCCGATTCCGCGTCTCCTCTAGAGTCTCACGACCCTGAGAGAGCTGGACTCCCACACTTTCTGCTTCTGTAATGCTATACAGCCTCGGAATCTCTATTCAGGGTCACTATGAGTTGGAATTAATTCGATTGCACACCACCACCGTGTATTACTTTTATGGTGGGGAGGAGAGGTTTAAAGAAAATACCTATGTTCAGAGACAGATGTATTATTCCAGTGATGTTTAAGAATAAACTTCAAACACAGAGTACAAGGGGGAGTGAGGAGCACCATACTTAAACTTTCATTTAAATACATTTTAAATTCCATTTAAATACATTGCTCAAACATAACACAAGAACGTTTATCAGTAGACCTTGTCCCTAAATCCATGTGAATCCTCTCTATAGATAGCAAAGGAAGAAGAGTTAAGAACATATGCAGATCTTTAAAATCAAATTCTGCCCAAAATTTATGATCAATAATGATGTCCTTCCTAGGTGGTACAAAAGATTAATAAGCTCTGGCTCTTGCAGTCTTGGCTCTTGGCATTCTACTAACCATGGGCTTGGGCTAGCCATTCCAATTTCAAGAACAGTCTCTGGGTCTGCACATGGCTCCTTCACCCCGGAAGGTCCAATCTGTGCCGTATACCTTGAGGAAACCTTCCAGGATCAAGAAGCAGCAGCAATTGCTGGGGTCTCCCAAGACTTATTTATGCTACATAAAGGAGCTGGGTGTCTGTGGGAATGTACTCGACTCCTCCCCGACTAAGGTTTCCTTCTTTATTCCAAGAAACATCCCCTAACCTCATCTACAGAAGCATCCTTACTTTAACCTATCTATCATCAAAGAAAAGCAGCAGTTGACAATGGTCCAGCTGAGCGTAGACGTGGGGCCCAACACTTATGACAACCTGGGCCCAGAGTTGGAATGGGCAATGTCTCTGGCTCAGGAGCCTCATGCTGGGGACGTGTCCCTCCCTACACCATGTAGAACGTTTACACTGCAGTCAGTGCCCTGGCCTCAAGGTGCCCTTCATTTCAACCTGCTGCATGTGACTAAGGAATGGAGTAACAATTCCCAGAAGAACTTGGGTTTGTTCCTGGAAATCCTAGTCAAAGCGCACAGAGACACAGAGGGGGATTTCCAGCTTGAGGACACCTGTGCCTGACTGAGACGTCTCCTTCATGCTTCTCTGCTGGTGGTGACCTTCAACCCTGAACAGTGCCATTCGTCATCCCAAAAAAGGAGGTCAGCCATCCCTGCCCCAAAGGCTTCTTGCAAGAACTTCTGTCATGGACACCAACTGCTCATCAACTTCCGGGACGTGGGTTGGCATAAATGGATCATTGCCCCCAGGGGCTTTATGGTAGACTACTGTCATGGAGAATGTCCTTTCTCATTGAACACCTCTCTCAATAGCTCCAATTATGCTTTCATGCAAGCTCTGATGAGTGCAGCTGACCCAGAGGTTCCCAAGCTGTCTGTCTCCCCACTAAGCTGTCTCCCATTTCCATGCTCCATCATGACCATCATGAAAAGGTCATTCTACAATCTTAGGAAGACATGGTGGTTGATAAGTGTGGGTGTAGGTTGTTGTTATTGTGTGCTGTCGAGTCGGTTCTGACCCATAGCGACCCTGCATAGTGTTTCCGAAGAGTGGCTGGTGGTTTGAACTGCTGACCTTACAGCTTAAAGGGATTTTGCAGCCCAGTGCAATAACCCACTGTGTCACGCCAGGACTCCATGGGTGTGGGTAGACTACCAGAAATGGGAATAGGAGGAGTGCTTCCAGATTAGATATTCTAGTAAAGTACCTATTTAGTTTATGACGTTAAAAAAAAAAAAAAAATGTCGAGCTCTGGACTAGTCAAAAGGTTGGCAGTTCAAACCCTCCCAGTAGCATCATGGAAGAAAGGCCTGGCAATCTGATTCCAAAAGGTCCAAGAGAGGGCTATGAACAATACAAGATGGCTCCTACTCACCAAGGATTCTGGGAATAACTAGAGTACCTAACAGAGTAGTGATCTGGCCAGGAAAAAACTCATGGAACGCCTGAATACAGGATAACATTAACTGGAACTCGTTAACTAGTACAAAAATAACCCCATACATCAGAGATTATATACTTTTTTTTTTTCTGGATCCCATCTGTATATCCTTGCACACAAGCATGAAGTATATAAACCATACCCCATACTGCTGTGCACAGACATCTACCTGGGTGACAATCCATACTTTGATCCTTTGCTCTCTGTTGCAAAAATCTTGATGTCAACCTCTGTACATAAGTTCCCCAATAAAAAGCTAGACCTGATCAACCTGCCTTTTTCTGCCTCTGTTGTTGAAATTTGACCTATACTCCTGGGAGCCACTTCTGCCACTGGTTTAGTGGGGTGCAACTCCTATGGAGTAGTTCTACTCTGTTCACATGGGCTGGAATCAACTCTGCACCTAGCAAGAAGCGAGGTGAGACACTGCTGGAACCAGACACTTTTGCTTAACTTTCTCATATACACACCTGCAGGTCTTTTTGATACTTCTTGCTTTCCAAGCTGGGAGTTCTTGTTACAAAGTCATTCAGCATGCTGTTGAGAGACAATCAGCTTCACATTAAAAACTCCAAAACACTCTTCAGAAATAAAATGTTCCAATAGGAAATACTATGTCAGTGTAAATGCTGTGACATGCATGATACCTGAGGAGCAGAAAATATCCAGGTGGAGCTAGATTCAACTGCACAGACTCTTTTAATACACCCAACAATGAAGGGAAGTTCTCTTGCAGGGCTGGAATTGGGAGCCTATTTAAAACACACAAAACAGGAGAAATAATTTTTTAAAAATCATGAACCTGTTAAAGTAAAGCATTTTGGTGCCAGGCCATTGTAAAGTAGAAAGGAAGAAGGCATGTCTAAACGACCTGCTTGCTCTTTTTGTATTAAAATATGTTTTTTGTTAAGCGCTGTCAAGTTGGTTCTGACTCCTAGCAACCCTGTATAGAGTTTCCAAGGAGCAGATGGTGTATAGGGTTTCCAAGGAGAGTTGGTGGGTTTGAACCACTGACCTTTGGTTAGAAGTCCAGTACTTATCTTACAGCACCCCACCAGGATTCCTTACACAAGCTAAATTTTGGAATGGAATTGCCAACCTGGGATCTAGCTGCTGAAAGGTCAGGTCCTCCTGGTTTCCTTGTTTATAAAAATAAAAGTTTACAAAAACAGATGACTGTCGTTACCTCTTTAGCCTTTCTAGTGCTAATATCCCGACATTACTGGTGACATGGTACCACCCACCAAAAGGTCAGGGGTCACCCACCAGGAAGCTGAGGATGATTCTGTGATGATGGCTACTAACCGAGGTAGCTCAGCGACTATATCAGAGCTCAGATGGTATCACTCAGAGTGTATTAGCAGTCAGAGGGTCCCAGGTTCAAGTTCTCATTTTCCAACTTACTACTTCCTGTGTGACATTGGCAGTTTCTCTTCTGCAAAGGAGGATGACAAGCTAACTTGAAGCTGCTGTGAAAGCTCATATGTAATTTGTTGCTAGGTGTCATAGAGATGTCTCTGACCCATAGAAACCCTGTGTAAAACAGAAGGAACTGTTGCCTGGCCCTGCAATGTTCTCACAACTGTACCGTTTCAGCCCATTGTTGTAGTCATCTTGTCCATCTATGTCAATGAGGGTCTTCTCTTTTTCACTGAGCCTCTTTACTTTATCAAGTATGATACCCCTTTCCAGGGACTGGTCCCTCTTAATAAAGCATGCAAGATGAAGTCTGGATCCTGGCTTCTACGGAGCATTTTGCAGTACTTATTCAAACACATCAGTTTGTTCTTTTTTCAGTCAGTAGTACTTTCAATATTCTTCATCAACACCGTAATTCAAATGCATTAATTCTTCTCTGGACTTCATTATTTTTGTCTAGCTTGCACATGGAGTATGAAGCAAT